CCAGGTCTCGAGGGCAGGTTTTAGATCTCACCCTGGGTCAACACATTTGAATCAAATGGTTAGTTCATTACCAGGCCTCTGGAAAACGTCAAGACATGTTGAGGAGGTAATTTAGCCATTTGAATCAGCTATGTTGGATCAAGGACGCATCTAAAACCTGCAGGACACTGACCCTCGAGGCCTAGAGTTGCCCACCCCTGGTATAATGGCTCTCACCGTGGTTCACTGGAGACCCAAAGCCTTAGATATGGCTTTGTAACCCTTTCCAGACTGATAGGTGTCAGTGACCTTGTTTCTCAGGTGCTTCTTTAGATCATTGCATGATGTGTTTCTTTTCGCCTTTATCAATGAAACCATCATTTAAAAACTGCATTTTGTATTTACTCGGTTTAGCTTTGTCTAATGTTAAAATTAGTTTGATGATCTGAAACATGTAAGTGCGACAAATATGCAAAACACTAAGAAATCAGGACGGAGGCAAACACGTTTTCACACCACTGTATATGTTAGCCTCCATCAAAGATTTAACATCTAAAAGAGACCACCTTCAACATCCTCCAACAAAGCACAGCGCTTTACCAAATATGCAAGAAAACTGCATCTGGTACATGTTTCTGCCCTTGAGACAAAAACAAACACCAGGCTACAAAGGTAGAGATACGTGCACCTGTTGATCTGTGACGCAATAATAAAATGACTCAACCAAGCATTGCTAGCAGCTACAATGGCTAGCTGTCCATATGACAGGCAGAACAAATGGTGGATGGAAATCATTAGTGTGATTGCATGGTGGAAAATTAGGACTTAAAGCAACATCCCAGGTAGAAAATATTTTTCAGTCTTATGGGGGAGGGGGGTTGTTCTAGAAAATGTTGTTATAGATTGATGAACACCCAAGTCTTTAGACTTGCTGCTGCTTTAGTCTTTCGATCTCCAATAGCAGGTTTTATATGCCATTCATTTACAGGTAAGGGCACATCTAAACTTCCAAACTCTCCGACTCTCGTTTGTGCTCGTGGTCGAGTTGTTGGTGCAGAGGATCGCATACTTTGTCTAACCTGGCATGTTGATGACGTGGAAGGTAAAACAGTGTGCATGTTATTAGCTTAGTCAGATTGCATGTGATTTATAATTCTGACTTGGATGAAGCTCAAGTCACAGTTTATGTAATTAAGGCTGAAATCTTGGTAGTTTCAGGCAAAACTGTAAATAACTGACCTGTGCAGTCAGTTTGATCGTTTGATTTGATTGCACGTCATTGTCCTTTGATGCAATACATGAATTGGATCAGATGAATGGAATTGGCTTTTCCTCGACCCCTGCTGTTCAAAAACGGCAAGAGACAGGAACATGCTTTGAAAATAGCCAGTGCCTCCCATCACTAGATCAACAACTGCTGTCTCCAAGAGCAAAATGTTTGAGCATATTTGACGCCACATTGTTTGACAGCATGCTGTTTATGATTCTCCGTCGTGTTTGTTTTCTGTACTTGGAACGAGGCTGGTTGCGAGGGGATATTTTGATCCTGGGTCAGGCAGGGATAGAGGCCTGAATGGACCAGAAAGAAAACAAGACATGTCTAGACCACAACTGCAAATGCTATTTACTGCATATTTTTACATCTAAGTATTTAAAATGTGCTTTATAGGCTACAGAAGAAATATCAGGACAACATTGACCTTAGTCCTGAAGTAACAAGGTAATTGTTAGTCTGAGAGGAGCTCTTTTGTACCTTTTTTTTTTTACTTTTTTCATGTCTAACACTGTGTTATTAAAGAGTGAGCTGGCATGTTGAAGTCAGTATATCCTTATAATAAAGTCTGGTAGTGACTGGTAGTGAAGGAATTTAGGTTACAGTTCAAGGCTTTCTGTGATCTGTGTGGATTTATGTATGTTCTCCTAGCTTGATTGGGCTCCGTGTGTTGGATTATATTTATTGACTTACCTGTTTATGTGATTTTAACTATATAAATCCAAGGTGAAGGGTTGGACAGGCAATCTTTGCGTGGGGGTGGGATAAGTAATGATATAACTCTGTAGTTAATTGTCCTTTTTCCATTAATTCTGTTTGGGTATTTGGGTTTACCCATGCTGGGTGACAAATTATTTAGTTATATTTTAGTTCCCCTTTTATCAGCTTATTTATTTTAGCACTTCATATTAACCTTTTAAGATGAGGTGCAACATTTAAGTGTGTTGCACTTTTACACTGCATGCTTATACCTTTAGAGCCTTTTGTGATCCAAGTGTGTTTTACCATGTTTTCAAGATGTTAAAGATACAAAGTATCTCATGTTACAACTAAATGAACCCAAATCAGTCACATGTTCTTAAAGGGATACACATGTAAATTTTGCAAAGGTTCTATTTCCTCAGTGTTTCTGCGCTTGTTGACATTGTTTATTCAACTTATTTGCCAAATCTGAACACAGTCAACTTCAACAAACCAAAAACAAAAACAAATCTAGAGTTGAGCTCAGTTAAGCTAGTAAGTTGGTTGGCTGTGTTTTTCACATTCCATCTCAATCCATCAAACAGTTGGGGAATTTACAACTTCCCTCTGTTCTTACAGACATGCCAAACTCCTTTTCTGTCGTGTGAGAACGTTGTCAACAGAGACCTATAGCTATTTATTGGGTAGAAAAGGCTATTGGGTTAGACCAGACAGATGGAAAGAATCACATCAAAGTGATATTAGTTTTGAGCTTGTGTCTGAGAGAGATTCTTCTTTGAGATTCTTCTTTCCTTCATCTCTAGGTTAACTGAATCAGTCAGTGGGTCAAGTGTACTCTACGCGTTAGCCTTTTTAGCCTAAATTAAAAAGCTGGAATTCATATTGCATTCATGTGAATCATATTTTTTTCTTTTAATTTTCCAATAGAAATTATAACCACAGTCATTGAAATTCAAATCGAGCTTGGTCTGGGTGAAGCTGCTGCTGACAGATGCTGAAACTGGGTGAATCTGTGGCTACATGTGACTGCTGTTTCCTTATTAGATGAAAACTGATGGATTTTAGTTGGATGAAAGCAAGTTACATGTCAGTGGTGTCTGTTAGCATTATCTTACTCTATGAGATATTAAACGTACTCAACAGTTTAATATTTATAGGTCATCAGGACCCTTACATTTGCATTTCTATTTTGTTGTAATTTAGGTAAGTGTGACATCATATAGCAGGGTCGATTTTTCGCTGCCTTCCTAGTTAGACTGGCCAGTTTCAGTCAGTGTACAGTGTAGTTACTGTTGTTTAAGCCCCATAATTCGCTTATCACCCACCACACCTCACGGTTTCTGTTCCATACCACAACACACACAGTCTGTATCGTCCTGTTCCTTGTCACTGCTGCCATATCTTATATAGCTTTTAGATGTGTAAATGTCCTTTTAGATAAAGAGCAGAACTAGAATAAAATGAGGAATTATGCAAGTGTGAGCACTGAAATATGATGCAGGAGTTGTTTCTTTAGGCACTGGGCTTGTTTATGGTTTCCTAGTGACCTTTAGATGACTATTTAGTTCGCCTTGGATTTTGCATCGGAGACCCTCATAATGCTTACTTGACTCCAGTGCGAGTCAGAACAGAGAGGTTCCTCTTCTGTCTGAAATAGACACATTTCCTTGTTGAAGCCAGGGATTCAGTATGCTCCTAGCAGTCTCTACCAGAACTTAAAATAACCTTCAGTTTGATTTAACCCTTTGGGGTCAGTGATGCTGCTAATTAGATCCACACTAAATCAGGATCAACAAGACAGCTGCTTCTGTTCGCTGTGGAAAACGGTGATTCGTGTTTTTTATTATAATCTCTTTTGGTCACATTTAGGCAAAGTGATTTCTTTTTGGCTTTGTAAAAACAGCGGTGATCCGGAATGCTTAGTGTGATAATGACTATTTCTTCTTCTTTTTCTTCTTCTTTTTTTTTTTTAAACTTTATTTATGTTATAATTATAGCTATGACTGGAGTAGCAAATGAAAACACAGGCTGTTTTTCTTTACTAACACCTTTCTTTTAAAAAACGAAAACAAACAAAAACCTGGCTCATGGTAAAAACAGGAAATCATTGTTTTTGCAAATATTTGTAAATGAAACTTCAGACAACACATATTACATATTGTTTGAGTTTAATCCCAGAAACAAGTTTAGGTTGAAAACATTGAGCTCGAATGCTAAAAATACATCTTATCTCAAACATCTCATAGCTAATTGGACTCATTAGTGACATGACTGGGTATAAAAAGCATCCCATGGAGGTTTTCACCACTGTATGAAAGACTCCCTGGGAGCATTAGTGCAGCTCACATGGGTAGCTTTCACATCTATGAAGGCACCAATAATGCTCAACAATATATATAGTTTTTTCAGCTATATATGACACTATAGAAACCTCCTTTTCTGATATTACCAGTATTAACTGTATATTTTGGACTCTTGGGCTGTCGGCTCCATCAGTTACAACTATGAGAAGTGACTAAAATTAGCATTTCAGTTTGTAGACATGCGTACAGTGAGTACTGTTTTGTCAGAAGTATGTGTGGTAATATCAAGTTCTAGAAAGCCATGGTGCTCATGGAGAGTGACACATGGAAAAGACACTTGGAATAGTTAGCAGATGAAGGATGGGTGAACACTTTAGTCGGCATCCTGATGTTAATTCAGTGTCACGAGGGGCATGGCATTGAACTATTAGTTGCCATAGATAACGCCTCTCCAGGATTATGGATTAAAACAATTAAATTATTATCATTTGTCAAAAGCTGTCATTCCTCTTTTTAGTCTTCATAATTCACAGTGATACAATCATGTCAGGTAGGAGAGAGGAAACCGGTCAGGTTGTTCTTGTGCACTTGTCTACCATGCAGGAAAATATGTGATGATACAGGAAGCAACCACAGCTCACTGACTGTTTCTACAGAAGCCAAACGAAAGAATCAGTCCTGCAGTTCTTTGTTTGTTTATGTGTATGCTTTTCGTGAAGCAATTCTCCTTAACTGTCCTACAGCATCGAGAGCAAGCATGAAGTCACCATCCTCAGTGGACTCAATGAATTTGTAGTGAAGTTTTTTGGACCACAAGGAAGTAAGATTTTCTCCTTTCAGTTTTTTTGTTTGTTTTTTTTCTCATTCCACAGACATTTTGAATATTGCTGCTGAGACCTTATTCAGTAACATGTTCTAAAATAATTAAGGGGTTATCCAGGGTACCTTTGTTTTCCTTGAATGCAGTACTATTAAGCAAGCATTTTAATGTATTTTAAACCAGCTATTAACATGAGTGCCATCACCATAAAAACAAATGAGATGTTAAGATTGATTTACAGAGCATGAAGTGACAGTAAATGTGGTTGTGAGAGCAGCCACTGCAGGAGTATCAGTCAGTCTCTTTGTTTAGAACATAAAGAGCTTTTTCACAGCAGGCAAGAAACGCAAAACGCAAAACTAGAGCTGAGGCCACAAAGTGTAAAACAGAAAGGAGCTAGGCTTGAACAGGCTTGAGGGGAATTTGGATGAGGAGTGTGGCCTCATCAGCAGGAAATACTTCTTTCATATGCTACTTGTAACATCTGTCACACTAAAACCACTGTCACTTACGCATCAGCAAAGAGGGGAAGTGTGTGTTTGACCCTGTTTATGTTGCCTCGAAACAATGCCAAATAAAGAGGAACTGTTGTCCCCATTGCTGCTCAACCATCATGTGCGTTATCTGTCATGTATGTGCTTCTCAGTTTCAGCACAGCACACGAGGGTCCTGTTACACACAGCTATTCTGGGCAAGCACCAAACACCCCCGCAAAATCCGAGTCGCTTCCTCTTTGATGTCAGCGTATTATTTGAAGTGATTTGGAAGTAAAGATTTCTCCTGGGCTGAAGTGCATTACTGCATAAAATGACAGATACGTGATGAGGGAAGCTCATGTGTAGCAGAGAAGATTGATTATAACACTGTTTTTATATCCATTTAAATACACGAAGGATGGAAGATGATGTTGAGGCGAATAAAAGTCTGTCGTCTGCACTCAGCTTTGTTCTTTTGTTATGTATTCTGTGTCCCCTCCTTATGTACAGCACCGTATGAGGGAGGCGTGTGGAAAGTGCGAGTAGATCTTCCTGATAAATACCCATTCAAATCACCATCAATAGGTACGAACTCTAACTCTACTTTACATCCAGACTTATTCATCTTAATTTT